TAATCTTTTAAGTGCCTCTGAGATCACTTGCTGTAATTAAAGACAGAAGATGAATGACTGAAGTACAAGAGCATTGGAGGACTTTAAAAATGAATGTGTCCTTGACTGCATCTCCTGTGCATTTATATAATGATTATCTCACATTAATATGACCAAACAGATAAAAGGAAAAAAAAATAATAAGAGCTTGGTTACATTATTTTTCTTCCAGCCCAATAATAATATTTCACCAGCTGGATGAATGTGCCTGTGAATACCAAGCAGGAGCAACCATGTGCTGCCGAGTGCAAGACCCCGCCACCTCCTGCTGCGAGGTGCAAGGAAAGGCAATATCCGCTCACGAATCCTGAAGCAATGTGACAGATAAATGAGTTACAAATGTGTATAAAATTCACAGACTTCTATCAGAAGTGGACTTAAAAGCTCGTGCTGGGAGAGATGACTGCAATACTAGCAGCTTACTTTATGAGCATTTATTGTCTCAGCTTTTGGAAATAAGACCTATCTGATCCTAGTGGCGAAAGAGAGGCAGAAGGGTTGCTGCAAAGTAATAGCTATCAACAAAAAACCTGTAAGGCCTTTAAACAGTATTTTGTCTTCTAAATAAACCATATGCCCTGGCATACCTATGTCATACCTTGATATTTAGCTCCCCATTTCATAGCCTAAATATAAATAACCACACGCCCAAGAGGGTTATGAGAGAGCTGGAGCTGGCCCTACTCCATTCTCCACGCAGCACTAAGTCCCTGGATCATGCCTGTCCCAGGCTGGAGGGCCGGCTGCCTCGTACCTCTCAGGGCACCCTCTGGGCTGCCTGAAGAGTCTGAAGCCTGCCGGGAAGTCCTCCTCCATGGCTTGTTCCCCTCCCTTTCCTGGCAGGGCATCTGATGGCCTCCAGCTCTACTGCACTATTGCCAGACTACAAAACTTTGTCACCTCATAAAACTTTACAGCGCAGGTAGTTTATACCGTTACACCTCTTGAACGAAACACTCGGCCAATTCGCGGTTCCCTCCGGCGGGAGGAAAACCAGATTTCTTGGGTCAGGTGTTGTGTTTGTGCAGCCCTGCTGGTTTACAGCACTGCCGAAAGCCTGTTACAGAGCCCTGAGCGCAGAAGGTGGCAATGCAACAGCCAGCTCGCTGCCGAGAGCCAAGCCGCCGTGTGGGCCAGCATCTTGCCAGGACGCGGCACCAGCTCTGCTCTTCCTCCGGGCCCCACCGCGTGTCCTGCTCGGGAGGCACCTGGGGCTCGGCACCACTCTGGCCTGTACATGCACCCCAAGCACAGCCCCAAGGGGAAGCTCCAGCTTGGAGCTCCTAAAAGCCAAACAGGTGGGATTGAGAAGGCTCTGCCCAGGTTCTCTCTTTCCCTGCAAGGACTGATGCCATGAAAATCAGTGAGAAGTACATTGTACATCCCAGGTTAGGGGGGAAGAGTTAAAACTCATCCTTCCCTGCCCAAAGAAAATCAGAAGTCTTCTATGTTACTCTCTTAGTAAGGAAGAAACTCTGCCCACTAAGAGAAAAGACTCGAAGTGGAAACTAATCGGACTTTATGTGAATTTGCAATATTTAAAAAACATCACTGTTGTCATTCCCACTGCTTTGCTCCATTCCATTGACAGCAACTGGCCTCCCTCTCCCACCCGCCAGTGCCTGCTTTCCCTCTGCACCTCAGACCCCCATGGGCCTCCTGAGACTTGAGCCAGAAACACATTGGGATGAGCTCAGATCTGGGACCAGATAATGATGCTTTGCTGTGTTGTGTTGTAACTCTTGCAAAGAGGAAAAGGCTTTTGACAGTAAAATTCATCATGTAGGAGGTATATCATTAAGGGACAAACATCAGAGACAGAGCATTTTCAGAGTAGATTTTTTTTTTTAACAAAGAATATTCAAAGTCCCATGGCCCATCCCCACATGAGGGGAGTGTTCCCTTAGCACCCAGAGCGAGGAACTTGCGCATCCATTTGTGCCTGTGGCTTTTCTGCCCTGTCTCATTAGTATTTTCCCTGGCTTCTCTCTGCCTCGCTGGCCCTTTTGCCACTCCTTCACAAACACACAAAGCATCACAAAATAACAGCCAGCAAAATGTCAGCACACACAAGTGTCTTGGCTGTAGGCTGCTGTTATTTCAACTTTCTGGTTTCTTAACGATCTTAATTTTCTCAGAACAGTTTGACAGAGAGTGGTATTTCTGTTCAACTCATGAAACAAAATAAGTCTCTGATATGTTGGACCCTGCCACTTTCATCTCACCTCATTATTCCTTTTTTTCCAATCTCTTAAAAAGGGTGGGCTTAACTGGCCAGCACCAGCCACGGCCGGCAAAGAGTGGTTTGGCAATCCATGAGTGGCACATCAAAGACAGGAAGAGCTTTCCTCTTTCCTTTTCTCGCCTCCTCTTCTCGGCTTTGCATGAGTGAAGTAGGAACAAGACTGAACTTTCTCAGCTCAAGCTGAAATCTAGCACCTTAAACTGATTTCTTGGCCCTGAGTAAGGGCATTTTCACCTAAGGGGTTTTTGCAAGCAGACCAAATATAGCTTTTTAAGAAGTTACTCAAAAGCAAATGAATGTAATGCAAAGAGAAAACTGAAGGGCAAGTTGTATGTTGAAACATGATGACACTTGTATGGCCACTGTACCATTAAATAATCTTGTTCCTTACTCCCACCTCCTTTAACCTACCATTTACTTTCCTTAGGATGTTTAACAAGGATGTGACAAACTGATTCCTTAGCACCCCAACTATGCTCACAAAATCCCTCAAGCCAGTGAGAAAATCTACTGGAATAGAACAGCTGTCTAATTTACTGCAGTGTCACTACGGAATAAGATACTGCAAAAGACTCTTATATTGGTATGGTTGCTTTCACAGGTTTTTTAAATAGCAAGTCACTCTGGAAAAAAAAAAATCCAACCCAACAACAAAAAATCAAAGAACTAAAACCCCTCCAAAACTCTAGGTCTGCTGAAAAAAACTGTTTAGATACAGGCCCCAGCAATCTCCAACAAAAGTTATTTATGTAGCACTGGAAAAACAAACACAAAAGCACAAACTCCTTGCAGCGTTATCATGATATCCTCTAAGGTACTCCGTACTTCTTGTTGCAGACAAAGAAATCGAAGAGAATAAACAGTAAGATCATATTACAATTTGCTACGTACAGTATCTTTATTTCGTTTCTGAGATTGTTATAAAAACAATATAACATACATTCTTTCATTTAGCAAAGGCATCTTTTCCACAGTCACTCTGTACAAACTTTTCAAGAAATAAAACAGAAGTTTTGCACTCACTTCACAAATATATTTTGAATAAAATTATAATTTTGTATTTTACAACATGTTTGATCTGGAGTGTTGAGCAAACTGCCAACCACATTTGATTCTAAAACCAAGGTTAAAATCAAGAAAAGAGTCTAGATAAGATACTGCATGTTAACATTCATCACATGCAGACTCTAGTTGCTCTTCAGAAAATACAATCCCATCCTCCCATTAGCTGTTTTTGTAGCCTGACTATGGAGTCCCCTCTGCTCCAAGTCCTTGCTGCTGTCGGCATTTCTGCTCTAGCCGCACAGATGGTGACGGGGAAGTGCCAGATCATCGCTCACACGTGGATATTGAACGGAAGTGCCCCACAGCCCACAGTCTGATCACAGGAGGTGATTACAGCATCAGTTTGCATGAGCACACTGCAATTCTTCTTGGACAGGTACCTAATCTTTGCCTACTCAAGGGCTTTTTTGTTGTTAGTGAAGAGTGATTTATTTTCAAGAAGATTGACAACAAACTTGCACTGATTACAGAAAATGAAGCAGATTCCCGAGGCAAAACCATACCATTATCTCCATCAGACCAGCCTGTATTTTCTCTGGCCCATCGTTGTGCAATTCATTCCCCAAGAGCTCTACACTGCTGTGCACCGGCAGCACCACAGGCAGAGAGCTTAGGAGAAGACTTCGGCAACTGCTGTGCCCAGCCCGAGCCGGTCGCTGCTCTGCAGCAATATTTAAAAACTCTTCTGAAGGGAATTGTGCCAAAGGCTGCGTTATTTCTATGGGCCACTGCACCATGAGTGGATGTGATCATACAGCTTCATAGCAACAAACCCCAATTTACCTACAAATTAGATATCCAGCTGGTGCCATCTGCCTGTCGGTGGTTACATATCACCCAGACTCTACGGGAAGAGCCTGCAGTGTCTCCTCCATGCTCGGACTGCTGTTTCACACACTGTGCTGTGGCTGAGACGTTAAACAGCACAGTGCAGCAACTTGCTGGATGGTTAATGGTTAGTGATGTGTCAGGACGGGCCAGTGCCCACCAGCACAGCACCGGTGCTCTTCTGGACTTGCCCTGTCTCCTGAGCCCCCTCAGACCTAGGGGAGGCACATATGCTGGGCTTCTCAGAAAGATCAGCTCCAGACTCTTTGTTTTACCAACAGCAAAATAATTATACATGCACACACATAACACACAAGTTAGGCATGACCTGGCTACAGTCTGTATTAAATGAATATCACTTTTTTTATGTACTGTGAAGGCATCTGACTACTGGAGTGATTCATTGCCATGCCATGAAAAGAGCCATTTGGCATTTCACACATTTAGGGAAAGCCATTTCTTTGTAATCCACACTGCGCCAGGCACCAATGCATAAATATACAGCAGTTTAAAATTTGCTCTTCTTCAGCAATTCCTATCAGGCTATAAATAATTTTTATATATTTTTTTAATACTTCATCACTTACCCTGAATTTTTCACCTTAATCTTGATACCAAAATACACGTTAGTGCAAAGAAAGACCATTTTAAGACTGGAACTAGAGGACAAATATATTAATCATTATTATAAGATACTAATTCTTTTTTATTTTCATAGATTTTTAAAGAAAAAATATAATCTTAGATTACAAATGAAAATCATCTTTCATATGTATGTTTTAATTTACAGTATAGAGTCACAGAATCACAGAGTATTCAGGTTGAAAGGAACCCTGGGAGGTCATTTAGTCATCTACTAGTAATCTAGTAGATAAACATCACATTTAATACAGCATAATCAGCTTTAGTAGATAAATAATTCTTAATTAACATAGAGCACTTTTCCTTTAAAATATTCTTTCCAGTGAGTGACATTATTCACATAGCAATAAAAATACAATTACAGCTGAAGGCGATGCAGGCCTAGAGTTAGAGAGCGGAGAAAAATTACCTCACTGCTTTATACGGAGGACACTCCTAATGTAGTGATTCACAAGGCAGGCAAAATAATGTAGAGGTTTTTTCCATTCTCTATTTCTACTAATAAACAATGTTGGTAGTATCTTGAGAATTTATCTTGCTGAGAGAAAAATGAGATGTCCTTGGATATTCAGCAATACTTTGGGATGAAATGCTGCCAGGGCCAGACCCGGTTGCTCAAAGGAGACCCCTCCACCAACCTGGAAGAGGCTGGGAGCAACAGCTCCAAGAGCTTATACCCTGGCAAAAGCAGCAAAAGCAACAATAAAGTGCTGGATTATTACACCAAAATGCTGGCAGTCAGAGTTTCCACACTCAACACAAATGGCATGCAGAGACCATCTTATTAAATTACGCACCAGTTTCCAGCAGGCAAGCAGTTGGGCAGCAGCGGAGTGGCAGCTGTGTGCAACTCACTGTGAGAAGTACAGAAATGAGGTGCTCCAGGCCTGCCCTGTCCGTGGGTACAGGGCACAGGGTCAGGCACACAGCTTTCTGACAACTGAGACAGCAAAGACATCCCAGTTCCTGCTCTCTGCCTTTTACTGACCAAATCAAAGAGAAGCCCTTTCACCCTTCCCATCTCTTCCCACCAGATGGCATGACCCCTGCCATCCCTGGACATACCCCTGCTGCCTTCTCCACTGAGAAAGACACAGTTTCTTTAGCTTAAGTTCCCCCATGACATCCTGAAGTCAGATGCAGCTGTCAGCAAGCTGAACAGTAGTTAAATGATATACCAAGAGCTCCCAGCACCACAGACTCGCGTCCCCCTGTTCTTCCCCCTGCATCTGCCTTAGGAAAGGGGGTTTCCTTTCCCCTGGCACTACTTTGTGCAATTCTCCTCTGCCTCTGCTCAGTTATGTTCCCTGCTCCAGTCATGTGCTGACTCCAATCAATAAACATTAAACCCTAATTTGGAAAAGTAAACCATTTTGTTTCTCCCCAGTCTTCTCTTGGAGAATTTGACATTGACTCTTTCATCATTTCATGTCTTCAAAACATACTTTCACCTGTCCAACTCAGCGAGGCAAAACCAAAGAGGGGAAAACATCTGCTCAACAAAGGTCCCAGGGAAAGTTGTGAGATAACTCCAACCACAGGAATTAAGTATTGGTCATAAACCAAATATACTAAACCAGAGAAAACGATTTCTGGAAGCCATATGCTAGCAATCTCTTCTCAGTGTCAATGTCCTGCAGTATCAGGCAGTGCAAATGCCCTCCTAGTGCTGAAGCAATCACAACATTGTGTGCTCTTATTTCAGATTTCCCAAAGGGATGCAAGAGAAAGGGTGGTGAGTGATGTATTCAAAGGGACAGATCTATTTATACCTTCTTTCTACCCTCCTGGAGTAGTAAGTAATGACAAATATAGTAACAATAAAAGCAACAAATATGAAAGAGATAAAGGCTAATAATGATTTTCTCGTTCGGAAGAAGTGGCATTCAGGACACGAGGCAATCTCTTCTGGGCACACCAACTCAGGAGTTTCAGGACCAGGAAATCCATTATTGTAAATTATTTCCCTGTAATGCTTCATAGACAGCTTTGGTTCATATTGATTTGCAACATAACTGTAGAGACCATATTTAGGAGCAGTCTTGTCATTAAAAGAATAGACAAAATATCCTTGAAGGTTAACATTATCCAAGGTGTAAGCTGCAAAAGAAAACAAAGGGTTGAAGAAATGAATAAATGTCACCTTGGCATTCAAGAGCCGTACCATATGTCAGCACATAAAGCAGGAGCAGGGGGATGTTAAAACCCACATCTACACCTCTCCAAAATAAGGTAAGATACACATGCATCTATGAATTGTTTCTCATAAAAAGTAAGAATCTGTCAGCCAATGCCAGACAGTGTGATCTGCAAGTATCCTGCAATTTATTTCCTTGTGTTTGGTAAACACAGCTGTGAGTGCATGACTGTGTTTAATGATCAGCATGGAGCCTATCATGAAAAGATGGCTCTCTTTTTCATGTATGAAAGAATATGGGTTTTTGGTTTTCCCACACCTGGATTTCTGCAACCTATTTCTCTGATTGCCCCTTCTCTCTTGCAGAGCACCTCCTGATGGGGACAGCCAAGGAACAAAGGAACAGAGGACACCAGGCTTCACTTCTCACTAGCAAAGGCACAGTAACACCAGAAAAGGACGCGCCCATGCTAAGGTCATGTACTGAGATATCACCACTGCAAGTGGAAGTTATGCAAATCATAGACCTCTCGTGTTATTGACCCAAGTTTCTGATCCAAGATGATCTTTATTAGTCTTTATTCAGAACACGTCCACAATCCATACTGCTAACTTGGCTACTGGAAGAGGTCCAGTAGCTGAGCATTAACCTTCAGCCATCAGTCCTGCTTGACAAAATCAATCAGTCCACAGTAGTAAATGCAAATTGTAATGCTTAATCTCTTAAAATCACTATTTGTAACAAATTAAAGTAACATCTTCTAGCAGATGAACACAGGACTGAAAGCTAATAATTGCTCTATTTTCATACACCTCTGGAAATAATTCTTTCTACAGCCACATGCAAGATATTGAGCACCTCTAACCTACTTTTCATGTGTAAAATGAAATAATATTTACCTGCCCTTTTACTGAGCTGCTACCCAGGACAATTAGTTTGTGTTTGTAAAACTGCATGTGGATTTAATCATGTTACATAAATGGTTACTGCTGTTCTTTGGTTTCAGTTGACAAAGATATATTTAAACAGTGTACAAAGCACTTAAAAATATAGCCTCAGTCCAAAGGGTCCTGTACTGTATTCTGGAATCATTTATCTGCACAAACCTGTCGGCTCCCTTGGAACAATGCAGGTGAGCAACATTACATGCACAAATGCTGCCACATGCAGTCCCTGAAATCAGCTGAAGAAGGCAGAATAGGAACTTCAAGGTGAAAGCACCCATGTACCAAATCCTCTCTCATTCCCCTCCAGCATGACATGAATTAAGGACACAAGATTTGTAATTCATCCGTTACTGCACAGGGTCTTGCAGAAAAAATGCAAGTTTTGGAGAAACCTGAATCGGTCATGTTGCCAAGGTTAAGAGCTTGCTCCCTGTGTAAGGGCAAGGTGGACAAAAGCACAATACCAGATTGGGAGAAGAAAAGAGACTGAAAAATCTGGTATTACTGACACATCAAACATTATGGAGCAGCGTATGGAGCGTCAGAAGTGGGAGAGTGAACTTTAGGGCAAGTGTTATGGCTAGTTAGTGGGGACATATTCATCCATGACAAAGAAGGTGAAAAGACAGGAAAGTATGGCTCACATGTGATGGTTGAGAAACATAGAAGCCATTTCCAGGTTGGACGGCAGAAGGGAGAAGGAAGTGACAGGGGGATACTGGTACGAGATCAGTACGAACAACAAAGTTTTGTAAAAAAAAAAAAAGAGGGATGTGCAGGTGTGCTGGCTAACAGGAACTAGGACAAAAGCCTGTATCCATACACACTTTGAAAAGAGAAGTGCCAAGAACTGGTATGGTCTAAAGTGGTAGGAAGGATGGAAGCAATACAGAATAAACAGATTGAAACCATGAGCTCAAATATAGCCAAGATATGTTTTTTAGTGACAGATGCAGAAGACATGGAGCCAGTGCTTCAAAATGCTGGAGAAGGAACACTTGGGCACAATATTGATGTTCAGTAATTTGTGAAAGAGGTGGAAATTACACAGGAGGAAGTTAAAGTCAATATTTAACAGAGTGGACAGGATGACCTAGCAAATTACGGAATGGCCAGCTATCCTTCACTACCGAGCAAAAGAATGGAATAGACTATATAAGGCTTTATAAATAAAAACCAAGGGAGATACGTATGATTAATGTCAATCAGCTTAGTTTTATGAAAAATAAATCTTGTCAAAATAACATGGCTTTTTTTTTCTGAGATTAGCAGATCAATAAAAGTAATGATGTTTGATGTAATATACTTAGAACTTCACAAGGCAACTACTTGGTATTATATGGCATTTGGATCAAGAAAATAGAATGTTACAAGTTCAAGGGGAGCCCACAACAAGCAGATTTCAACTAGTCTCAAACAGAACTAGTAAGTCGAGAAATGTAATTGCAGGGAAGTAAGTGTCACAGTAGGTGTATTTCTACCATGGTCATGGAGATTGGCTTTTAGCACTAAAGTATTTATTTAATGATCTTAAATACATCAGCAACCTGAAAGAAAACTGAAACTATTTCTCAAAAATCTGCAAATAACACAAAGATCAGGGACATAATTTAGCTAATGTAGCAAACTTTGCACAAGCAAGCAACTGGCATTTGAACATGACCAAACGCAAGGATGTGGAAGAACAAGCAGACCATACTTTGGCAGAGGGCCTTCTGCCTGGAGGCAGGAATCTGTAACTGAGTTTGAAATCTCAGTAGATTACCACAGAGTGTGTGTAACTAACCTGCTCCCATGGCCAAACGGGCTAATGGGCTGCTTAGATGTATGAAAGAGGCATAAAAGTGTAAGAGGTTACATTATACCTGCCTGAGATACAGGTGTGGCTGTGGTAGGAACAGTATGACCAGGTCTGGGTTTACCCCTTTCATGAAGAATGCTGGCAAATAGAAAAACTTTTAATAATGTAAAGGTTCTAAATGATGTTTTATAGTAAGGGACATAAAGAGCTTTGTCTGTGCTATTTATCAGAGATAAATGAGAGAGAACTAATTTTCTGTCTGTAATACCTACACAGGTAAAATACATGGAAATGCACAACAAAATGGCTTAAAGCTGAATCTAAACAAAATTAATACTAGAAGTAAGATTTATATGTACTATACACACACATATATAAAAACAGTAAATAATTACCCACTGCAACAGCTTACAGTGAGATGTAGAAGATTCTTCATCAGTAAAAATTATCTCATTTGGGTCTTGTGCTTTTCTTAAAAAACAGTGTGTGTTGTATGACAGGATGACTCAAAATGCCTCCTTTTTGCTTTATAATTTATGAATCTTTGAAACAGAGAAAAAGACTGGTTTGGGTTCTGAATACCAGGAAAGAGTCCAGGAAATGGTATAATGAGGTAGATAGCTGAATTATTATGAAGATCGCTGTTGGATAAGATCACTGTTGGATAAGATACAGAGACAGCTGAGGAACAGAACTCCTCATATCCAGCCCTGAGGCACATCAGTGGAGAGAAGTAACAAAGCAAAACAACAGAAGTACTATAAGAAGAAAATCTGACTGAATGCATGTGGAGCTACTCACATAACATCTACTTAAATTTCTTGAATCCACAAAAAAAGTTTTGCTCTCTTATGCAGAATATGTGCAAGGTCAGTCTTCCTGATGTTTAGTAATGCAAATCAATCGTAAATCAAAGGAAAAACTAACTGTTATGCTGCAGTAACATCTCATTTATGGGGTATTCTACACAGGATTTCTTTTTTTAAAGTTAAACATACTCTATCACACAGTGTATACTAATACTGGGATTTGTGACATATAAACCATCTATGGTTCCTTACCTTTTAAAGCTTCATTGATGTAATTCTCTATGTAATATATTCTGAGCTTATCATGCACCATATTCTGATCATCATCAATTCCATTAGCCATAACATAAACCGGGACATTGCCATACTTTGATTTAACCCACTTGAGCAATTTACGCAGTCCCCAGGGCACTACTGCAGCTCTGCTGGGGGAGTGCAGCCATGTGATGTCATTAATCATTTGAACTTCAAGGTAGTGGTCATATTTTAGTGCATCCTCTTTCTCCCAGCCCACGAGGGTAGTAGTGTAGTGACTCAAGGCAAAAAAATCAAATGAGCCCTGGATTAACTTCTTTTCGTCTTCTGAGAAATAAGGCAAGTGGAAATTATACAGGTCAATACTGTTTCTTCGGTGAAGCCATGCTCTCATCACCTGTGGGTAGTCACCATTCCCAAAGATGGGCTCTGCAAGCCAGCCAATGTCAAACTCTAAAATTCTGTCAGCAACATCTTGGTCATTCCTGGAAAAGGGACAAGCTGGTTCGACCCAGTCGGCTTGCAGGGCTATAGATATTTTGCCCTTCTGAGATCTCCTGAATTCCTTGTCATAAAGATGCCATGCTTTTGCATGGGCTTTCAACAGGTTGTGCCCTGCGGTGTATGTCAAATTTTTCACAGATGGTTCATTCATTGTGATCCAAAATTTGACATGGTCCCCAAGACTTGTAAAGCAAAATCTGGCATACTCAGCAAAAGCCTGAATAGTTTCTGGGTTTTCCCAAGCTCCATATTTGGCAAGGGAAACTGGAAGCTCTTGATTCTCAGCCATAGGTTGCCATAAAGCAACAACGGGAGTTATGTTAACTCTGAGAAGTTCACTAGCAAAACACTGATAATAATGGACAAGTGTATGGTTGATTACAGAAAGATTACCTAAAGGAAGGATTAAAGACCATTTAAGTGAAAAATGGAAATGTGTGACATGCATTTCTTGCAGAAGAGAGATCTGAAGCCTGATAGCAGCAAAGTCAACACAGTGACGCTTGCGTTTTGAGGTGAAAACTCCATCCACTTTAATAAGCTTCTTCGTCTGGTGAACATCCCACACATAAACATTAGAGTCAAGAAACTGGGCAGGTGTCGTGTCTACCTAGGTAGAATAAGAAACATACCAGATTCAAGCTGTTCGTTCTAGGTAGGTGGGAACATCATAACCATCAAGCACAATGTGGTTAAAGAATATCCTAAGTCAAAACATTGCATTTAGCACCTCTCTCGCATCTCTGATACGGTAACATCTCTGTCTCATATGAATGAGTTAATTTTCTGTTGATATGTGATGTCAGAAAAGTACCAAATCTATACACCATTTTCACTCTACTTTCCAAACAAGCTTATGCTAATGGTCACCATGTTTATATCTTCTCCAGATTGCTCCAGTCTGTGTGGGAAACCAGGGATTGCTCAGGGATAAGGCACTAAGTCTGCAACAGATCTCCAGAGAAGCAGATCTTCAGTAAAGACTACAGTAATTTTTAAAATGTTTTTTCTTTCAAGATTAAGAAGGGCCTACAGAGAGACTGTCTGTTGTAAATTACCCAGTAGATTCAGTTTCAAGACCACTCCCTGAATGCAGTAAAAGAAATAATGAATGCAACATCATTTCTGCGTTCTTTTCCTGACTATGATGAAAGATGAGTAATGCTCTGCACTTGATTTTTAGCACGAATTCAGTTGACAAGCAAAATTTTTCCTTCCTGCTAAAGACGTCCTTTTTTATTTAACTCATATTGAACTCATTTCCAAGTTATTTCAGCAGGCTGTTGAAGTCTGAATCAATTTTTTTTCAGGCCTCTGAGTAAACCCACTATATGTCACTCCAACAATAAATGCATCTCACGTAAGTCTTTAGGGCTTCAGATGTCAGAATTGCCTGTATGACATACTGACACAGTAGAAGATGAGCTTCTCACAGTCCCACAGAATTATAGTTTCACTTTTTAATTAATATCACAAACACAGTAAGGACTAGAAAATGGAAGTGTAAATTGCTTAAAATTATGCACAGTGTAAAATCTCCTCATTCATATTCTCGCATATCTCTCACAAGAAAGATCCAAGCTACAATATACTGGTACAATGTGTGTTTATTTGTATTTTTTTACTTTTTTTTTCTTTCTTTGGTACACAGTTTTCCCTCGAGTTCAGATTTCCTCGTCCTGACCTCTGTTTGAAAAGCAGGTGTCAGCCTACAACCAGTGTTCAACTTGTAGCTGAGGCTCTGCAGACTGTATAAAGAAGCTGCTGAAAATCAGTTGCTATTTTCTCCGGAGAGGTCAGTACTGTGCTTATAGAAGAAAGTAATAAAAAACAGCATGTCTGAGGGAAATTGCTTTTCTGGAGAATTGTCCCTTGAAGATTACTAAAGCATGCATTGCCACTAATACTGTGGGAATGCTGTCAAAAGAGTTTTTCCACTGTGATGCATCTACAAATCACACTACCTAAGCCTTACAGCGCAAAATGTTTGAATGGCCTTTTGAAATGAAAATATTCAGCTTTGAAGGTTTTGGGGATGGGAAGGATTTTTTACCTGTCTTAGGCTGACTGACTTCACAACTTTATAGCTGTTATTGATCCCAAAGGCAGCAATTCCATTTCCAATCCCTAATCTATCTGGGAGCTAGGAGGATAATGACTGTTGAATTTTCTTGGAAATCAGTGTACCAGGTGAGGAGGCTGCAGTATTTTTCAAGAGAATAAAATCAGATCTTACTTTTGGAGTCAGAAAAAACAAACAAGCCCCCTATACTCTAGCCTTAAGAAAGATTCTGTCTTTGCGGAAAATCTAAATGAAAAATTCTGTTCTTGGATCAAGCCTCAGAGTTGAATTTAACTACATCTCTTTACTGTGGTTAAAGAAGCCCAGCAAGCCAAAACAGCATCTGAGAATTACAGAGTCAAACTGTTAAAGAGACCATAACTAAGCTACAATTTTCACTCATGCTATGAAGTCTTAAATTTTGAAAGATTCTCACAAATTATCAGATTTAATTGAAATACAGAGCGAGAGATATGAACTGGATCCGTGATTTAGATAGGTGCTATACAGGGGCACTGCAGGCATCCATCAAACAGAGTACTACACAAAATGACAAAGAAGGAATACAGAAATTTCACCTAAATTTAATACTGTACTTTTTTTATACAAAAGCCCTCTCGCAGCAGTACCAGGATATATATGCATAAGATGAAGAAACATGCCACCAGAGTTTTAAGAGCTTTCAGGAACTTTTCTAAAACATATAAACAGCAGACAAATACACTACCATTAAAATTACGAACATGAAAAATCAGTAATATTTCCCATTTCATAGACTAGGACATTTGGAAATATACTTTAGCAGGTCTAATCAACTTCCATTTGAAAAGGACTGACTTCCAGTAATTGATCCCATAACATGTCCTAGATGAGCATCAGACCCCTCTAATTTCTGTATGTTTTTCTAAAATGCTATTTACTATATCTCAATCTGACTGGATCTCCTTGGTCACATGCAGAAGGTATAGTAAAGACTGAAATACAGTGTTACCCTGTACCCATCTCCTTGCAGCACTGTGGTAATATATATAGGCAAAGACACTCTATCCAGCAAATTTATCAATATGAGCTTGTGCACTGATCTGGCTGGACAACCTGTCAGCTTTATCATCAGACTCACCTGAATGTAGTTGTCAACAATTCCCCAAGCAAAGCCACAGGGAAAAATACCTTCTATGGGCTGATTTTCAGGCAAAGGTGGGAAGCCATTTTTTTCTATCAGCTTTTGATAGAACAAGACAGAAGATTTTGGCATCAACTTCTTGTCATGGCTTTGAAAATCAACATAAAACAATCCACGTCGAATGCTATATCCTCTGTGCCATTCAAAGCCATCCAGGAGCGACCAGACCGTGTAGCCAAACACATTAACACCGTCGTACCGGATGGCTGAGGAAAAGAACAAAACCAAATTTATCGCAGTGCTCATTTTATCTCTGTAGATTACACCATATCAGCAATGTGTGCAGTATTCATGTGTAAGAACAGTGCAAGAGGTCAAATAAGTATCTCGGGGCCTGCCTCAAAGCCTGTTCAGGGAATATATTTGAACCGCATTCAGGGAGCTGCAGGACATGGGTGCGCTGTGCAAGGCAGCAGAAGTGCCTGGCTTGGCTTTGCCAGATTTAGAAAGGGAAGCAGCGCAGCCCTAGTTTGAGCAGTGCTGCTCATTAGGTGTGCCAAACTTCAGCCTCAGAGCAGAGCACACTACATTTGAACCGTCTGCAGCAACCGGACCAGTAAATGCACTGCATTGCACTCTGCAGCTCACTCCAGGGTAGCTTAAGTGCCATTAATGCAGCACTACCCTGTATGCAAACAAAAGTTACACTTTTTTTTTCTCCTTCCCCTCCACTACAAATACATACTGAGAAAACCCTGACAACACTTCTGGTGTTCTGAAGAATTTTTATTACCACAGATTTTAAGTAGAATTGATAATGCAGGAAGACCCTCTTTATCTGATAATTCTGTCTCTTTGCATCTTTTATGGCATAGCATTTCCCAGTTTAAATATTTAAGGGTTTCTAAAAATATGCATATGTTCTAGATCAACTGTTTGACTTTTAAGAATCACCACACACTTTGAAGGTTAATATCAGAGTCTACTGGCATCTGTTAGTATTGCCAGCATTACAGTTTTATTTTAAGATTCCAAATGATACTTTTAGTTGTATTAAACACTGAGATTCAGCAAAATGTTCCTGGGCAAGGCTCAGTTTCAGAAAAGCACAAATGAGTGTGCTTATTATAATTACATAATTAGACCCACCCTAATTCAGCAATGCATTTAAGCACATTCTTAAATGTTCTTTTGAACTTGAGTTTGGTTCTGTAGCCAGCAGAGTTTATCTTTATTACTCATCATCTTCTGTCAACCCAGACTGGGTACTGACTAAACATAATATTTTCCAGCCTAGTAACACTGAAAGCGTTATTTCAGGCAACCAAAATATCAAGATCCTAATTTCCTGGTTTTATTAATGTACCTTATTACAATCAGTTATGAGGGACCACACGGATTCTTGATTGTAACCCTGTTTGAATCAATTAAATGAACTGCGGTTAAATAAGCAATGAATTTGGCCCAGTCTCTGTCAGAGGTCATGAGAAAACATCCAAGGAAATGGAATATTTCTCCTCTTAAAGGCATAATTCTTTTGTGTTTGGCAAATGACAGTATTTTTCTAACCTCTTCATGCATCCAGGATGACATCTGCCATACCAGCAGAGTAAAAGCCAATCCAGGTCCACTTTGTGAACTGGTCTCAGTGGGAATCTCTCTTTGAACAGCTTCTCACCCCTTCTGTAAGTCATCACAAAGCACTCCCACACTTCCTGAGCACCTCATAAAAATTCTCCCCGAATCCTTTTTTAAAAATGTATTAACTTTTAAGTATCACCTATGAAAGAAGCAACCTGAAAAATTTTTGGAAATTCCAGAAAGTCTGGAAGTCTCAAACACAGTATCCCACACGGACTGCATGTTACTGAAAAAACACAATAAAAATTGTCCTTTTTTAAAATTTTTAAATTTTTCCTTTAACTATCTCCCTTCTTTTTAATGTCTGTTGGTATGTAAGCCAGGCTAACTGAAACCTAAACTGTCCTTGCTTCTGAAACTGAGTGGCCTTGTCTATACTCCCTACTGGAAATAACTCCTGACCTGAGCAATGCCCCACAGCTTGCCTATAAGTATGCTACTGTGCAGGCCAGAACTCTGCCAGAAATGGGTTAAAAATTAAACAGCTGTTCAGCTCATGCTCTGTTTAGCTCACTAGTATAGAAATAGTCCAAGGAAACATGGCAGACCCATAAGCATCAAATACAGATCCTTAAAACTCTCTGCTCAGATGCAGTCCAATCCCAGGGCACAAAGGTGAGGTGTGTGAAGCTTGCAGCCCCTGCTTCCATGCGGAAGGTGCCCAGGGATCTATGTTTTGCCTCTGGACATAGCAGAGAATAGCTCAATCCTGACCTGTCAAGGGCCTAGCTGTTCCCATTCTCCTTAAGACATTTGAATTCAGACCTGTTAACTCCCCAGATAATGACCTAAACTCTCGGCTAGTCAACATGGCACAGAGGAACTTGCATGCCCTCCTGGTCAACATGCTCCACCTTACAAGGAACAATCAATTTATCTGTCGCACCAGAGACAGAGCAGGGAAGTGAATATGACCCTAGAGTAAGTGGTTAGATACTCACCCATGTGAGGAAACATCTCCAACCTGCAGCTCTAATTAATATGTAACTACTTTATATTACAGCTCTATTTACTCTATTCAACCCTAAGTGGTATTTAGGAAAAAAAAAAGAAAGATCAAAAATAGTAAACAGTAAAAGGATTTAGGACTGTGAATCCCAAATGAAGAGACCCTTTCCCACCGCCAAAAGCAAAGAAAAAAAAATGTACGGAGCTTGTGTACAGCATACAGTGTTAGAATGGACATCTACATCAGCACTTCAGCTGAAATCAGGAGCACACTTTTGAACAAATCTCACTTTTTTGAACAATCATCTCACTTTGGTTCACATCACAGAGTGGTCTCAAGATGCATGACCTGGGTTCCCCTGGGGTGAAATTAATCCAGAAATGGGCTTCAGAAATGCACACAGTGTGGACACCAGGCCCTTAACACCAACCCTTTTTACTCTACAGGCTTGCTCTAACAGGGCTGCACTTACTTGTTAATGTAGATATAGAAATAAGCAGTTTTGTCTGAACCAATGCATATACACAATTAGGCAGAGACACTGGCCAGATCTAGGAAGCAGCAAAACCACATTTATGCGGCCCTTGGTCTAAATTCATTATCCTTGCTTCTCAGTGCTAGAGTTCCAATGCCATTTTATGGCCCTGTGACTGCTGGAGTGAATTTCATGTTAAATAGCTCACGAATCTCTACATTACCAGTGCTTTATTGAACTGGATAGCCACATCCTAAATCTCTGAGAGAGACAACATCTGCCTTTGTCTTTAGTGTTGTCCAACAAGACTGCTCACAGCCAACATGATGCCTTTCATGAATCTTTCTCAACCAAATTACCATAGGTATTGCATAGAGAACTTTGGTATTTACAATGGATTTTGCAGATTCTAATGGCAGAATATTTGGGCGTAATAATTTTCATCATAATGAAGCAAAAGTCCCTTCTGCAGACCCAGTCTGTCTCTGCCTTTTTCTTCTGCAAAAAGTTTAGCCAAGTGCTAGTATTCTTAAGCTGGCATGGCAAGACTGTCGTATTGTTGCTACTGTTATTACTATTTACTGAGTAGCACATTAAAAGTAAAGAAACTGTAAATTGAGATTATTTCCAGCCAGCTGTGATTAAAAGGCAGATCCATGTATGCATGTCCAGCAATTTGCAAAATAAGCAGAAATGCAGGTAATAGGAATATGGCGCCTTCACGAAGATCTCTTCATCATGCAAGCTAGTAATACTGTACTTGCAACAGTAACTTTTTCCTTCCATTCTCCCCATTTTGGATGCACTAGCTCATGTATTTATTCACCTTTTGATTTATTTGAAATAATTGGGCTTCTGGAATAGCAGACGAAACAAATGTGGGAATCCTCTGCATCTTCATGAGAGCTGAGAATAAAATGAAAGCCATTTCTGCTCATCCGCTGTATGAAAATGGCAATGTAACACAATGGCTATCTCATCTGAACTAATAGCTACAATAATACCATTTTTAAAACTAGAACAGTAAACTGTGGACAAGTAAATCTACTATTAAATTGTAAATTAAGAAATTAAAAGACAATGAAAACGGAAATGGGAACCCCAACAACTTATTGGTGACTACTAGGATTGAAAAAATCTGTTTTGCCACAAGGAAATGAGAAAACAGAAAATGAGTCTCATACAAGGTAGTATATTTCTCTTACTGTTTGGGAAAAAAAATAACAGGTTAACAATTTAAATAATTTAGATTATACAACCTCAAACATTCAGTTTTCCTTAAACTGATGTAAATTCAGATTATTGTGACTGATGTCCAGAGCTGTACCAATGTAAAATTTGTGCAATGGCAACACGGAGATGCAGAATGAAAAGGTTCAAATTTTTCATTTAAAAATGTATTCTTTCAGCCCTATGTCTTCTTCAGAGGAACTCCTACTGGATAGTGTTTACGTTCCCACATATATATTCTTATGTTTTGTACATATGCATCCATACGTCTAAAATACGGAAAACAAGAATGAATAAATAATCCAGTGAAATTCTCTAAGTCCATTGTGAATACAGTTCACACGTTTTGCACTTCTTCCTACCAAAGACAGTAGAAATTTTCCAACTGACTTCAAAGACAGCAGTATCAAGCTCACCAAATGCTATCTGCAGATATTAAGGGTCTTCAAGAGCCGAAAATAACAAACCCAGGAAAGGGATTCAGAGTCTTGTTTCACAAGTGCCAAGATGAACGTTAAAGAGTAAAATTAGTTTTCAGCCTGGTTCTTTAACATGCCTCTGTAGGCTATTTTGCATTACGATTTTGTCAAGCATATATTAATACAACCTCAGTCCTACCTTTTAAAGTTTCCATAATGAATTTTTTGAGATAGTAAATATATTTGGCATCATCTCTCTTTGTGCTACCAGAAACAAACCAGCTGTTCTCCACAATGAATATTTGGGGGTTGTTATATTCTCTGCTTATCCAATAAAGGAGCTGCCTCAGGCTTATTGATTCCAACTGCTGGAACTTCATATGAGAGTCCAAGAGCTGGAAACTCAGGGTAGCTCCAAAAGAAAGAGCAAAAAAGTCTGCTGTTCCCTTGATATACTTCTTCTCAACTTCACTGAATTCAGGCAATAGAGATGAGAGGTTGCTCTTCATGCTTTCTGGATAGTCACCATCAATAAATATGGGCTTAGCAAACCAGCCAAGCACAAAATCAAGGGATTTTTGACATTCTTTTATGTTTTTTTCAGTCATATGTTGAGGTTTTATCCAGTGGGAGCTAAGGGCAATGGACACTTTTCCTCTTTGAGTTGGACGAAAATGGTCATTGTAGAGATGCCAGACTTTAGCATGGGCCTGTTGAAAAGAAAGACTGTAATTAATGCACCTGAAATTTCATTTTAAGTAACACTATTAGTCTCAAGTACAGACATCCAGTGTCATGTAGTAACCACATAAACACAACATTTGAGGGCTCAGCCTTATTCATTCATCAGCAGTTTACTACTCGCAATTTAACTTTTCTTTAATACTATATTAATACCATGTATCAACTAGAAATCACTGGTTGGTGAGGGAAAACAGCATCTCAGTTTTCTGTGAGATACTATTCCAGGCATTGAACACACCTTTAGCTAGACACCTTTATTAACTTCTGTTATTGAGTTCAGACATACTTCCAGAATTTACAAAAATCAAAATGCATTTAACTAAGCATGTTTCAAAGTATGTTTTCACTTTATCTGTATTTTCACAGATTATTAAATAAGGAAGGTATATTCTTAAGAACTGCCCAGATCTCTCAAATAATAGAAGACAAAGAAACACCCTTGAACTTGTTCTTCTTTCAACCACAACACACAAACTACCAATCTGGATTTTAAAAAGTCTGGTGAAAAACAAGTTATCACAGCTCCTGAAAAATTATTCCAATAATTCAATTTAATTTGTTTTATTAAAATTTGCTATTTACCTCTAGGATCAGATCTCAACCACATGTCTTGGTATAATTTTATCTGTTACTGTGAGGAGATCTTTTCTACCAAATTTCTTTCCTGTGATCTTACAGAGTCAGTTGAAACAGTCTCTTGATGTTCCTTTTGAAAGCTAAATAGATTAAGTTCCTGGAGACTTGCATTATCTTCAGGCATAGCTTCAAGCTCTCTAGCAATTCTCACTGCTCTCCTCTGATTCTCTTCCAATTTGTCATCATCTGTCTTAAACTGCAGAAGCAGAATTGGATATAATATGCCAGTGGTAGTCTTGCCAGCAGTAAAACCAGAGACAATTTAATACACTATTTCTGCTTATGTGGCCATAGAATTACACTGTGAGCATATGCTCATCCAAACTATGGTATCTCCAGAGCCCTTCATCATCTAAAACATATTTTCTCTTCACACCTAGCTTATCAAGGAATTTTGACTGCTCTATGAATCAACATCCCATCTTTTTGACATTTATACATTAGTAGAAATTGTAATGCTTTCTTCTAGGTCATCAATTAAAAGGTAAAAAACGAGAGATCTATTCATTAGAATAAAGACTGCTTAATAACTATTCCTAGTTTACATTTGCATTTTTAGACTTGTCAGTATTTGTTCATATGTGCTGTGATATGAGCCTCCATTCTTGTCATACAAAGTCACAGGTGTGATGAATATATATGACAGATTATTAATCAAAGTGCCACATGCATTTTTAGCTCTTCCTGGAATATAACCCATGTAGAGAGCCTTAGAATTCCATTCCATGCAGTTGGTATGTTGGCAAATTTTATCATTAATTTATTGATAGCTGCTGTTCACAGCTTCCTTTTCATAAACTCTTACCATTCAAGCTTTGAACCAAATGATTTCCAGTTGCCAGCATTACTAGGAACGTTAAGCAATTAAGATTATTAATCATTTTAGACATATACTCTGTTAATTACCCAGGAAAAATAATGAATTCTATCATTCTACTGTTCTTGCAGAATGTTAATTCTCACTGCTGGGAGAAAAACAATTGGAAGTGAAGGACAACTAAAGGTAAGATTAATAATCAAGGCTCAGTCCAGCTGCCCCCATACAGAAACCTGCTACATTTGAGTCATCATGGGGTATGATAAAACATCTGTGCAGATCTGACACCAGCTCTAGAGGAGACTAGACCCATGCCCTTTTAGAGTGGTCACCAAAACCCAAAAAGAACAATCTTGGAAACTGTAAATCACAGCACACACCTATCTGCGTGAATCTGAATCAAGCTCTCAGCTGCAAACTTCAATGTACATTCTCTCACTTAAAATAATACATCAATAGCTCAAATAAATGTGATGCAGTCCTACCATCTGTTTATATTAATATAATGAATTTTGATGTGAGAGACTAAATATAGTAACCACTTCAAAGTCTCATGTCAAAAATGAGAGCTGACCTAAGCACAGGTTTAATTTTACTTCACACTGCAGCTCTATTATGCTGATAAAAGAACAAAAGACATTATGTATCATGACCAAAATGCTACACACCCAACACTTTAAATATTTTTAAAATACCATTGGAAACAAATGTGTCACTGCTTGCAACTCAAATTTGCACACCCAAATTTTCCCTCATAAAGGTGCCATATATTCTTCCTCTCCAGATTTCCTGTCTCAAATGTTAAGATACCACCATGCACACACAACTTCATCTCTGTCATCTGCACTTGCAAGTATGCTGTCCACCCACAGAACACCTTGAGGACTGTGGAGAACTTGCTCCATAACTCCTGTCCCTCCCTATTCCTACCAGTGGCAAGAGATCTTCCACCATTTTACTAGCTTTGATTCCACCATGAAGAAAGGAAGAAGGGAATCCCACCGGTTATTCCCTCTACACAGAGAAGGAGGTGCTGCTTACTCCCTCGTTGCAATGAAAAAATATGAAGTGCAGCAATGTGGGATTATGTCACGCAACTTTACTTTCTAAGGAAGTCATCCAGTCTGCTTCTACAGAAAACAAGACTGTTGTCTAAGATATGCAGGGTGAGTCATTTTTTGGGAGTCCATCTCTCTCCACTGATGACAGGCAAAGCCTGTTACTCAGTTTAGCCAAGACATGTTCCACAGACAGAAAAAAGCAGGCAAGAAGCAGCCCACTTAAATGTCTGCCCTCTGGAGCATGCATGAAGTGGAATTATGTTATTTCAATTAAAAAAACAGCTAAACAGAAAATAGTGCATAAAAGTCCCCAGGCTCTGTGGACATAGATTAACGAAGTAGTTCAAAAACTACATAGTAATTGAGCTGGAAGAAGCCAGGGACAGAGCAGTGTCTCTATGGAAATCTGGGACATAATTAATTGGCCTAAAATTAGGCATCTAATGCAGTTTTAGAGTACTCCAGCCTGAATTCCAGTCAGTTTCTGAAAGCTCTGAGTCTCCCATAAATCCCAAGTCACATCTCCAGATCCACAGAGACACCTGAGACACTACAGAGTGTGTCGAATGATTACTTGCACCTATACCCATCTTCACATAAATGAATCCCAAACCTAGTGTGGGACTTATTTTGAGCTGAAGACACCTTATATTTTGTTGACCACATGGGAGCTAGATGCTGAAGCTCCCTCTATAGACCATGGAGACCTCAGGCTCCACACAGCTGCCTGAACAGAGGCATCTAATTGCCACTCCAGAATGATACAGGCCTAGGTCACATCTGCCATTTCCATGCAGATGTCCTAAACAGCTTGGGAAATCTCATATGGCACTACTTATACTGAGCTAACAGGATCCCACTCCAAGTCAATCCCACTCCAACAGAGTCTAGCAAGTGATTCCCCAGTACTGTACAGCAGGCGGATCACACTCAGCAAGACCGCTACCTAGGTCCCAGCAACTGTATGGATTAGCAGTAGGATTTAATATAGGTGCCTAGACCTTTTTGAGATGCCTTATCTGAATGAGGTTGGCAGACATGATTCAGGACCCAATGGGAGACCTTGTTCCTCTGGAGCAGCAACTGGAGGCCAGGCAAAATATTTTAAGAGTAGCTCAAATGACACTATACCTCTGCTGGGACAACTGAAACCTTCTAGATGTCTGTTATCTATAACTGGAGTTTACCCTCCCAGATCACATGCAGAGAAAACAAGTAGGAACCAAACTACCATCAGTTCCTTCATATTTATATGAGATTCTACTTCCTGATCTCAGTGACTTACCTATTGATACCTATTTTTAACTCACAGCTGACAAGGATTAAGACCATGGCAATCCATACTTCAGGACTTTTACTGACACACAGCATGGTGACTTCATGTTCCTGGTTTTGCAAGATGCCAAGAGGTCTTACTTGGCTCCTTGTTAGCTCAGACAGGTGTGCCATGATGACAGATCACTTGGCTTGGCTAGAAAACCTTACTAAAATAGCCTGCTTACAAACTGGCTCTAGGAAGAGTTGTGCAAACATCCATGTGTTATGAGCAGAGCTAACTGCTAAAACCTGTGTGCTGGTTTCCATGCTGCTGAATTTGGGTGGTCTTGCCATTATTACTTGCATTCAGAGAGTAACACATACTGTTAGATACCAAACACTTGACTGACACCTTTTTGGGGGATATTACCCTATATTCGTGAACCTGCTGAGACTTCAGCTAAACTGGTATTGGGAAAACTGCAGATTAGCATGGGTGCTCTCTGTGCTTGTCTGTTCTTCAGGAACACTGTCAGGAAAGCTTTTAAACAGCATTTACCTTACTCTTAAAATGCTTTCATCCCTAAGAAAATTATGAAGGTTTATATCACCATGAAAATGTAAAAAAGTCTTAAAATGTAGCTTGTCCTCTTAACTAAGCCTGTTTGTATGTCTGTACTTCACTCATGTTTCAGGCCCTGCCACAGTCCCGTTTTAAAGTTGATACATTCTTCTTCTCCTGACTTTCCCACCCAATATACCTATTTGGACTACACTCTACCTATAGTCAACTTGTGAAACTGATACTGGTCATTTGTTCAGCCTTAAAGAGATCTCTGTGTGAGTCAAAGTCAGCAATGCAACATAGAGCCTTGATGAAGTGTCAAACACATTTCCAAAGCAGAAAAGCGTTCTGCAATGCCACAGCATGGGCTAGTCCTACAAAGTTCAAATTCCCGCAGTGACAGCAGAAATAATTCAACATAGGCTTTACAGTCTGACAGTCATGTCCTACTCTATTGCAGAACAGATCTAAAAAGCTCAAGAATCGTAAGGTGAAGTGTGATGGTTTAAGCCCTGCCAGGACCAGAGACCATGTTGCCGTTGTCCCTCCCCCACAAGTAGGGCACAAACCCCAGGTTAAAATAAGAAGGAATTTAATACAACAGTGTGATAAACAATCTGAACAACAACAGTAGCAATGATAGCAACAATAAACAGCAGTAACAGTAAACAAGACAAAAGATATACAGAGAAATACCGCAACGGTTACAGACAGCTCGCTCATGTGCTTCCCGTCACCAAAGCCACAAAGGAAAAAGTTCCCGCACTCCCATGCCCAACCCAACATCAGCATGGTATGAATAACCCAGCTGGAGATCCCCTCCCCCTTCTCTGCTGGGGAAACTTAACCCTATCCTAGCTGAACCAGGACATGAAGTCAATTTAGTAATACACAGACATTTGTTTGCCTGACTACTCCTCTAAATTCCTGCCCAAGACAATTAAGACCTTCCTGAATCTGGCACTGATATGTATCATTCTGCAAGTTCTTAGTATTTACACCTGTTATGATGTATAACCTTCACAAGAGCAAATCAAGAATTATAATTGGGAACATCATGATTCCATAATTTGTGTTCATTCCTCTAGAACAAGTTGTCTCAATTTTGTGTGTCTTCTGAACCAGTAATAATACCACTCATTTCACAAATAAACTGCACAAATACTCTGCTCTCCACACTCAGATGAACCATCCTGTATTAACTCTCTATTTGCAGGTTAATGAAACTGAATAGGAAAGTGTTACTGAAACCCATTTAGCAATACAAAGAGAAGAGTTAATTGGAAAACATGTGAAAAGGCTTTTTGATTACTAGAAACCAGGCTGATGTACCTCCAACAAAACCATCATTATTTCAGTCCTACATCAAAAGCCCTTCTGAAATGGATATAATTATTGGAATGACATAGGAAAGTCTAGTACGTGATTAGTCAGAATATGCCTTATACCAAGAAGGGGAAAATATAATGGTTTTTGTCCCTGTACCATCAAAAGCAAGTATTTTAATAAAAGCTACAGAGAGAATGTCACATTTCATGTAATGTTTCACCGTCAGATCCAAAGTCGAGTAGATTTCACCCACACGGTCTTTGGGCAGAAGTTCTCTTTCACAAGCAAATAACTGAGTAACAGATACAGGTATTGAGAAACTGCTTAAGTTTTTTTTCCCATATTTCAAAACTGGTAAGATAATATCTTCATGTATAAAGCACAGGACTTCACTATAGATAGTATCTTAGTCATGTAGTAACTTAATTTTTCCTCTACAGTTCCTTTCCAAATACGTATTTTTCTAGTTTTTCTTTTAGAGTCTGTTAGTCAATATTACCACAGATTATCAGTTCAATTAAGTCAATATTTTTGACCAATCTCAACAACCTGGAACCAGAAATAGGCTTGTAAATGGTACATAGAAGACCAAGTAAATATTTTTCAGTATATAACCACTTAATGTAAAATTTTCTACATTATAGCTCAAGTATTGACCACATATCTGAACTACACTGCTTTGTTCCAGTTTCTTTCTCGTACAACTTAGTGACCATTTTTCACACTGTGCTGGTCATGGTAACAGGCTGATATCTCATGAACATGACTGAATTTATGCCTGCCATAGATAAGGGAGGAAGTAATACCATTCCTATTTTAAGAATTGGGAACAGAGATATTACAACATGCATAGAATAAGGAAAATTAAACCAGGTACCTTAACTTGTAGATCAGTGCATGAACTAGAGAACAATGCCTCTGTCTGGTATGATACTCACCTCTACAGAAAAAGCACCAAAGGTGGCATTAAATACTTGTCCGAAGGCACAGTGGCTAGCAAAAACACCATTTTTCCCTATCACAGGCAAAACAGGAGCTTTGCGAACACAAGAATAAAAAGAAGGTAACCTGAAAGCATGAAGCTAAGCTACAGGCATCAAGATGCATTGCAGGTACCCCAAATATATTATCAGAAGGAAAAAAAACCAAAACCCCACAAAAGATAAGGAAGCAGATAAGAGTTATTTTTATACTTTGATTTTGAATTTTATAGCAGATGAAAGTCTGGGAAGGCTTGTACTTTCACATACCGTATGCATAAGCATAAGTGAACATTATCACAGATAGATATGCAGCAGAGAGACACAAAGTGACCGCAGTGTGACAGAAGGAATCCAAAACCCCTTTGATATCACTGTGTCAGGTGACTGCTGTAGGAAACCTCCTTTGAAGTACAGAAAGCCTAGATGTTTTGGCACAAGCCCTGAGTTAAACCTCTCTCAGACTCACCCTGCCTTGAAGGGCCACTCGCTCGGCAGTACCCTGTGGCGTGGTCAGCCAGAGGGGGGGCGGCCGGACTGTGCAATGCACTCTGCAAATCCCACCGTCACCATCAGAGGCTGTGCAAGCACAGGCATACACCCTTCGAGGGGGACTCATCTCACCTAATTTTTGTCATCATCTGCATCCTAGCAATTCACATGCACAGCAGAGGGGAAAGCTTCTAGGACACAATTCACTCAAGCCATTTTTAATACCCAGATGAGAGTGAGATAAAAAGTGCCTGTTACCCTCCACTCACCACACAGGCAGGCTGGCACAGCCACTGGAGTCGACATCCTGTCCAAACAAACTAAAGCACCAAGAGATGAGTGGGTTGGGAAAGCAGTTTGAAGTCTTCTGAGACAGAACAGTCTCTGAAAACATAAAGGTCATCTGGAAAAGAATAAAGCAGCATTTGACTTGGAGAAGCAATGGGAGACAAGACAAAAATAGCTTTATTTCTGTCAACAAGTGCTTCTGAGACACTTGATGTGTTTAATCATTTTCCGTTACCTCTGACAGAAAAGATTAATTATGGAACTGCACAAAAATAGTTCAAGGAATTTTGTGACCCATGTGAATATTAAAGATATGAGAGATTTTTAAGCAGAGTACAAAAAGAAGATGAAAGTACAGAGCGGTTTCGGTAATTTAAAGCTGAGAGACAATCTTGCAGTACTGAAGGGAGCTAAAATAGTCCCTGATAAAAGACTTGACTGATTGGAATCTGGGACACAATGCACAAGCAGTATTTAGGGGAAGACCAAGATACAATCATTGCTATCAAAATTGCTTTGGGTGTGCTGGAGCTACATAAACATATCAAAACTCCAGAACCGAGACTGACCTGCAAAGCCCTTTATTAGAGCATGAACCTCTTGGAGGACGGGCCAGGCTCCAATCATGCTGACATATTCAAGTACACAAAATACAAGTAAACAACAAAGATGCAAGGGAAAAAGACATGGAGAACTTAGTTGTAATCCATAAAACCTAGCACACAGAACTGCACAAGCTGTAGTAAACAGCACAAACCAAGACAGTAACACCACTTTGCAAGAGTTGATAATGATCAGACAAATGTGCTGAACCAGGAGGGTGAAAAAAGCACCATGACTTTGGAGGAAACTTTAATGGGAACAACGGTAACAGCTGTGGCAACTGAATACACCATTAGCCCAAAAAGCAAATGGAACATTAATGGATTTTAAGTCACATTCTGCTTGGAGAGAAAGTAACATGGTGCTAGAAACAGTAGTGAGCAAAAAGGTTATGCACATAAAACTCTCATAAAACTCATATAAAACTGATATATCAAATATATATGTAGAATATATAAAACTGATTCAATAATGCCCAGTCAGAGTACTGACAGTAAATGGATGCTTCAAACTGGAAAAGACAGTATTAGTAATAGTACTGGCAAAAAGAAATCATCCATTATGGCTCCAAACCTTTGGTTTCATGAAGAGCTACTACAGAACAGAGCTTCAGAAGCCAAAAGCCCCAGAATTCATGACTCTCCTCTGCACTAAGGCAGAAGTCAAAAGAGAAGACAGGTAAGTTTGCTGCTCTCAAAAGTCATAGTGAGGAGAACAACCACAGTAACATGCATACCCTTTAATGACATCAGCTTTAAAAAAAAAACCCAACCTATTTTTGATTAAAAAAATCAAAATAACTAAGTAAATATATAAAAGGTAAACATTTCCAATACTTTTAAGAGTAAAAATTCTGGAAGAGGTGACTAATGTCAAACATTTTTCTATGTTTTCTGCATCACCTGGTCTTCTGGTAGATGCAAACAGGGAAGCCAAATGCTTATCTGTACATATTCATCCCCTCAACTTACCACTTGGAAATGCTTGTTCTGCACACTGTGGAACTATGTTTGTTAACCTAGGTATTTCACAGGGAGAAAGAATGTATTTCTGATGGTTTAATGGAAGCACAAGAAGAGAATTGCTTTGGAAAGTCTCAGAGCAGTTGGCAGAAGCTAAACAAACAAGGCCAATGAAACAAAATAGTGTTAGAAAGAAAAATTTTCTTTCTAGAAAGATAGAAGAGATAGAGGCAAATACAAATAAGACTAAAGCCCATCGTCAATATGAGCACCTGATGGACAAGGAAGTGATAAAAAGATTTCAGCTCGATGGGGCTAATCTAACTAGCTAAACCAACAACCCAGCTTGGAAACATGTTGAAGACAACCTATAATTTGGGATGAAAATGATAGAATATAGAACCCGGGTTACTCATTACCACTGTCCCTGCATTTGAAGCACCCAGAGTAGAAGCCCTATGATCTGGTGTTAATAATTAACCCCATTCGTATCCTGGGCACACTAGTAGATTAAAAAGAAATTGACCCAACTGAAGTATGTATCTGCTCCTGGAGATGTACCGAAACATTTTGTGTGCAACCTAATGCTGAGAGTCTCCCAGGAGAAAGACAGGAAGAAATCCCTGTCATAGGATTGTTACAAGAACATCAACTGATACTGGATTTGGCAAATCCATGATTGTAGAATTGAGAAAGGCTGACAGATTGACAGTCAGAAATTATTACTGAGGTACGTGAATGTGCTGTTCTAAAAGCTCCAGGAGTTGACCTAGAGATGAATGGGTTTTTCCCTAACTACAGTCCCAAAAGAAATCAGATTGCAGGCATATTCATGCCAAAGTGTTCATGAGTCCTGACCATCAGCCACAGAAGCAGTAAAAATATCCCCAAACAACAGAGAAAAGCTTATTGGGGCAACAAATAACTGCATGAAGATCAGGCACTTCTGATGCTCCAACCTGGCCTACCATAAAAGCAAACAGAAAGATTTACTGGGTAATGGTTGATTTTTGAGCAATGAATTCTATATTATACTATAAACCACACTTGCTGTAGCAAAAATGCCAGAGTCTGGTATAAGAGATTTAGCATATGCTGTCTTTGTGATCTTGTCATCAGGGCAAGTCTGGGAAGAATATCCCCCTACACTGACAGGGCAGCAATACTGCTTTACATGCACCTGCTACCCAAGGATTTCACTGTGCTCCATGTTTATGCAATATTCATATCATCCAAACATGGGAAAAATTATCAGATGCTGATTAAATCCATGTAATATCATGAACAAATGAGGTATTAACCTACAGCCATACTCTAACAGAGATGAAGGAGTTAATTAAATAAGCATAAGTCCTAACTTTGGAAGGACAATTCTAAGTGAATTGATGAACAGGTCAAGTGGTACAGGAAGAGGAAAATATTTAGGAGTAGACTAACCAACTTATTAACAGCAAGCAAAATTTAGGCAGCTCCTTGCTCTACAAGTTTGCATGAGCTCAGATCTTTCATGAGTTTGCTTATTTTCCCCAGGATTTTATATCCATGTTTACAGATATGATTAAGCCTTTAACCAAGCTATTGAAGAAGGTGCATCAATGGGAGCGGAGATAAGGACAAAACCTGACCTCTTCAACATTCAAAAAAGGCTGGCATAGGTAGCCACACTGGGGATGCTGTTCCAGTATTGCCACTTTTATTTGCACCTCCAGAAGCAGTAGAGGCCATGTTATCACAAAACCAAGGAAAGTCAGTCAGTTCACTGTATGAAAAGGAGCATGTGGTGCTCCTGGGAGACTTAACACAGTGGCTCAGAAATTACAGAGTGGGTGAAAGGCGTAATTACCAAGCTCAGAATATTTTAGAATATCAATAAAGTAGTGTGGGCTCAGCAGAAGAATAAACCACAACAGGTGATCTCCACAGCATACCATGGGGACCCCATCAAATTTGTTCACAAGAAAAGTCACTCTGAAGAGGCTAGAATGACAGAAAGGTAGACCCGACAGAAAGGTAGCCCCCTCTGGAAGAAGACATTAAGCAATCAGTACAGAATTATTTTATGTGTACTACAGTAAGCATTTCTACTACACAAACTAGACCCTCTCTCTCTTCAGCACCCAAAAATATCAGCTCCATGGTTTCAAATATAAATTAACAGGTCCTTTATCAATCTCACAACAAAACAGTAACTGCTGCAGTGCCCAGGTACATCACTACACGTTAATGACAATCAGAAGTATGAGACCACGGTAGCAGTGGTTTGACTGGGTGCTACCCACCAAATGGCTTCAGGAGGTATTTATGGATGAATGTGCTGGTGGATGGCTTTTCCCACTATGAGTTCCTCTGTGAGGAACAAGAGCCACTGAGCAGCAACAGCAAAGGAACTGGAAGAAGTCTCCATCAGTGGAGGGTATCAGTGAGTAATATGGAGGCATTTGGTCCTACATAGCTGGCACAGGAATGACAAATTTAGTCAATATATATGCAACCAATATGTTACAGGCTTTCGCAGATCATACACCACAGCAGCCCCAAATGAATGAGGATCAAACAAAATTAATGACAGCCATGAGGTTCGTTCATGCCCAAATCTAGCTCAGTCACGCACATGATGACCTGAGTTTACTCTGCTATAAGCTTGGCTATTAAATTTAATCATTCTGAGATTAGAGCTATGCATCAATGACAGTGGGCTATGGGATAAGATGGAAATTCTAGCCAGCCCTCTCGATGGATGTAAAAAGCAGCTAATCAGGAGAAGCAATATAAATGTGAAGGTACCAGTTTTCAATCTTCAGACACCTGTTTAGATTACAATTTGACCAGATGTAAATACGAAATTCTTCCTTCTTTTCCTAACCAGTCTGCAACTGTTTATGTGAGATCTAGCTGTGTTTGCATGCATACCAGATATAAAGCAATCATTACAAACTATCTCACTGTGTATAATCTGATAGAAATGTTCTCGTTTGTGCACATGTAACAGAACTGACTGTTATACAGATTTCAGTTATACACCTTTACAAGTAATGCTCAAGTTGCAAAAATCACCGAAACTGTATACTAAATTAACTTTAATCCAGTAACTTTTGGAGTAGCTTTTGCATGATTGTTGCAGATAATGAAGCATCCAACTGTAACATCTGAAGTGTAGTTGGTTGTAAAACAAGTCACAAAAGCAATTAATACAGTGCACTGCAAGATCAAACAAATTACAAGCAACTGCACTAGGGAAGGTAGGGTGTCATTCTTGATGGGAATCCCTCCTGTGTGATCCCCTTCAGCTTCAGGAATTTTGAACTTGGCTCTACATCCTGCAGTCATAGTTCTACTTTATACTTTTATACTTCAAAATTTGCACAAAATGTAAGAGTATTAAGTGCTGAGCAAGTTGAGGAATAGCTATACCCTAGAAGAAAAAACTGTGGACTCCCTTCAGACCTATACACA